CCAGATGCATGGGGGAGAAGAACTCATGCCTCAAATAATGAAATAGCACAATTTCCACTGTTTTCATATAAACAAGAATTGAAACTTCACAGCTGTGAATATGCTGTTTATTGTCAGTGACCTTAAAAGACTGGTCACTTTTGAAGATTTATTTGGGTCTCTTCATCACCCTGAACATCTTCTTGGGCTTCTTCCATACTACAGTCCAGCAGCTGCCTGTTATGATATATTCTGCCCATCATCAGATTTGAGTTACTGTATCAGGCTGTACTTATTTTGGTAGAGATGAGTGTGTTTGTGTGCTACAGGGGCTGGGGGTGGAAGTTTCACTGTGTACTGCTTGCAGATAGAATTACTATCCTGTATTTCAATTTTGCTTATTTCCCTTGTGTCTCTCATGGATGTCTGTGGGGGATAAAACAAACACTGCCTTTGGATTTGATTTGCACTGTGAATTTGCTTCTAATTGGCACCACCCACACCAAAGTTGAAAGTCAATATTTTCAGTTTTCAAAGCCAGAAGGATAAAGTCAGGCTACTAGAGTAAGATTTTAAAAGGCTGACAAAACATCATTGGTCTGGTCAGTGGTAAAAGCTCCTGCAGGGACAAGGGGGGCACTGGAGATCCCAGGGCTCTGCTTGCAAGCTGCTCCTTTGACTCTCCCTTCTCCCAGCCTCTGAAGGATGTGGCCTGAGGCTTGTGGCCGTGTAATGTTTCCACTGCACAGCTCACAGGGTCAGAAAGGTTGTCATCCTCTGCTGAGCTGGGAAGAGGAAGAACATGGATGTATATCACTTTTACCCTGTCCCCTAGCTGGTGGGGTTTGGTCCTGACTTCAGCATTATTTAAAATAGCTTTAGGATTGTTTAGAGTTAGTGTCAGGGCACACTTCTGTCTTTTTCTCTTGTCCACTACTTATTTAAGAGGCTTAGCTTCAAGAGAGAAAATGAAATGGCCTGAATAGTTTTAGTAGGAATGCTATGGAGCTGCTTCTAAGTGGCATTGTTGTATGCAAGCATGTAGATAGAATGTTTTAAATTGATTTTATGACTTCTGAGGTAGGTGTGTGCAGGCAAAGAAATGCCAGAGGTTCATGCACAGTTGTTTTTGTTGATTTTTTCCCCCTAGCAGCCAGGTTCATGCTTAAATTTCTGTGATGCTTCAGAAATATATTCTAGTTGTTACTTAATTGCTATGGGTAGCAGAATCAAATGAAACATTTAAATGCAATAGCCTCCCAAATAATCTGGTAAACCTATTCATAAACTCTCTGCCAGATGAAGCCAAAAGCCAGACACACAAATTATTGTCAGTGTTTTTCCAAATGAGTAAATTAGGTCAGATTCTTAAATCCTTCCTCGGACAGCTCAATAAAAAGACACTGAAAGAACAGCTACACTCCTGCCTGGCCCTGAGAACATGAAATCTAACAGGGAGATGTTAACAGTGGTGGTTAGATCAAGCACAACACCAGGTGTAAGGGCTGCACAGCTGCTGAGAAAGGTGTGAGGCCAAGGGCCATGTGAACACACAGGTTCACATCTCCCTCCCCAGCAAGACAAATGGCAGAATCTCCAAAAATGGCACACTAAGGTGTGACCTTGGCAACCTGCTTTGTTTTAGATTTCATGAGCTGTGGTTCTGAACCCCACATACTTTGGGTTCTGGAGTTCTGTGTCTTGGGGGCAAAGGCTGTGGGAAAGGAATAACTCTGGTCCTGCCAAGCATTCCAAATGTGTGGGATAAAAAAGTGACATGTGAGGGGCTGCTGACAAGCATCTGGGCTGACAGAGGTGACCCTCTACTGTTGACTTAGCAGCTGACATTCTGCAGGCTGAAAGGAGATGGCCAATTCACTGGGGAAGGAGGAGTTCAAAACATAACCAGAGATGAAAAGGAACTTCAGAAGCGCCTTAAGGTCCCAGCTGAGATCTTTTGAAATCCCTTTGTGCCAGGCTATCTGCAAAATGCACAGTGCAAGAGAGCCTTACACAAGGATGGCATGTGGAATGGGAAGGGAACAGCAGGAAAACCAGCAGCTCCACAACACCTCACAGGAAATCAGTGTCATAAGCAGAAACTAAATGCTAATTCTTAGCCCCTGACGAATGGTTTGTTAACTATTTTGTACTGACCAGGACAGGCTGATGCTTGTTTCCAGATATTTATTAGAAAGGTGAAAAAAATCCTTTACAGGTGTAACTTTTTTTCTGAAAATATCAGCAGTTCCATTAAACAGGCTGTGTGATTTGGGGGCAGGCATTCTCTGCCTCCTCAAAACAAGCATTTCGGAAGGATGGCTTAACCAAGTGCCTGCCTGTCTCCAAAACAGCTCATGTGAGCTGAGTGCCAAGTGAGGAGAGGAGGCAGAGCCACACTTTGAGAAGAGTGATGCCCATTCTTGCAGCCCCTCAAAAATATCAGCCCCTTATATGGCCTGAACTTCAGTGCGAGTTGAAGCTGTCAGAGATGATTTAATTCTTGCTGAGTGCTCTTTGACTCCTCTCAGAGTCCCAGAATGAAGCTGAGGTCAGGGGCTGGGTGGCTGCTGGCTGCTAGCCCTGCCACAGCTCTGGGTACAGCACCTTATGGCCGTGTAGTGAGGATCAATAAATCTCACCATAGGGCTGATCGCTTGTTTCCATGTGCTGGGACTGCCCATCTCCAGTGCTGAGGGCTGAGATGAGGTACAATAAAGGCATGGAAAGGAAAGATGTGCCTTCTGTCCAGTAATTAATATTTCCTTTCTATGTGCATTTCCACACAGAATTGGCTGGATGACTTCATATTGAGCTGGAACATCCAAACCCATTGATGCCATTTCAAGAAAGTGCAGCACTTGTTACAATAATGGCAAAACCATCACAGCTTTTATTCATCTCCCTTTTAGAGCTTGAGTTATCAGTGGTAACTCTATCCCTGATTATTTTTGGTAGAGTAGCTCTCATCCACCTTATATGCAAGCATTAAATTTCCTGCAGTCTGATCCTAAATCCATAATACAATAGAGGGAGGAAAGGGGCAGCCTTTAGGGAAGCTCTCCTAATTAATGTCAGCAAGGTGTTTGGCTCTGTAAAGATGGTTGTTCATCAAAATATTGAAACTGCAAATGATTAGCTTGGATTGAAAAAAATGGGAGTGTATTTTTGTAAGCATTTTCCTGGAATTGGTTCAGATATTCAAGCATTCATTGGTCAGTAATAAAATTCTGATCATTTAAATGTCTGCAGTAAATCAAAAGCTTTTTTTCTCAGCAGCAGCAGCAGCTCAGATGTTATCCTTTTTAAGTGTTATAAATATACTTGCAGTAATGACTGTAACACCAGTTCCTTTATACACACAGAAATTAGCCTTGATGATCAATATTATTCTTTATGGGTTTTGAATTGAAATAAATTTAGAAATTTATTAATATATGCTATTACAGCTCACTTATTCATATAAATCTTACAGCTAAAAGGGGATATTATATCAGTTTGTCTCATCCCTTGTACAAAAATTTGTATAGTTTCTTTAGAGTAGCACATACACACAAGTGTACCTCACACTTGGATTTTAGGACCTGTGTGTTCTGTGTCTTTAGGTGGCTGTTTTTAGCAAGTCTCTTATATTAAGACAATAATTTTGCATTCTTCCTGTTGTGACTAGCTTATACCAAAATTTCTGCTTGCTGTATTGACTCCACCAAGGTGATGGTTCCTTGAACCCCTTTCATTTAACCTTGGAGACAGGTGAACTGTGATGTGATATAATCTTTTTCAAGTCCAGCTGCTTTTATCCTGTAGATGCTGACTTGTTCTGCACCAATGGCAGGAAAAAAAAGGATTTCAGTATAGTCAAACTTCAATCCTGTGTTTTAGTAGTAGGGGATCAATATTGTTGCACACCTGCATTCCCCAAGTCGGGGCTTTCCATTAACAAATCCAGTGAAGGCATTCTAAGGCTGCATGACTGCATCACCAAGCAGTGGGCACTTTTCTCTCAGTCTAGGCTACTTCAAAATTTGTTATGTCATGTGGGCATAACACATCTTAGTTATGAGTTGCTCCTTTAGTCAGAACTATGGCTAAAGAACCACTAATTTTCTCTAAGTTATAGCAGAATCAAAGAAAAGAGACCTTTTCTGTTTCCACCCTGCAGAGTGGAAGGGTGGTTTCCATCGCAGAGGAGGTATTAATTGTGTGCTGACTTTTACCTTGTGGAAGCTTTTTTCCACTTAATTAATTTCCTCAGTTTAACAAACCCATATGATTTTTGTAATAGTGATTGTCATTTTCCTGAGATTTTACCATGGAGAATTGTATTCAGAATTTACTCAGTGGAAAGAGCTGTCTGCAGAAACTCATGGTGCCCTTCTAACAATGTAATCCTAGGCAGCCCAGGGAAATATAGGGAGAATTTCAGGATGGAAAAGTGCTGCTAGTTCTGTTAAATCCTATTAAAAAGCCATACATGGAGAAATGAAGTTTAAACAAGGCTTGGGGAAGCTGCTTCAGAGAAAATTTGTTGTTTTATGTAGTCTTTATTCTTACCATTAAAGCTCTTGTTTTATTGCAGACTTGCATTGTAAAAATTGTCAGGAAAGAATAAGAAAATAGTAAAATGATCCAAACCCTGAATGAATGCCTGTAAGGTTATAATTTCCTTTCCTTCAGTTGATTTTCCCTGGCAGAATTATAAGGAAAGCTCTACCCCAATAAATACCAGAAAATCCATAGTGCTAAAGCCAAGCAGATATTTGCAAATATCCCCTAAATTTTGCTGATAAACTCGTATTATTTTGTTACTAGATATTTCTAGAATAGATGGCATCTGATGATGATGATTGTAGAACAGGTGACACGTATACCTATACATGTGTGTGTACATGGATATTTTAAACATCTGTCTCAGTAGGTAACAGTGGAATTCACTACATTCATTTCTGGTTGCTCCTCTGGGGCTCTGGAATTTCAGGACGTCTTGTTTCAAATGCTGTTTTAAATGAAAAAAAAGAAAATAAGAAAGGAGCAGCAGCATCCACGCAGGACATCAGGATAGCAGATTAAATATAGACATGGATTACAGAGCCATTGTTTTCACTCCTGCTAAATAAGACAGTACACTTAAAATGGAATGCCACTTGACCTTTTGTGTCTGGTCGGTCTGTGACTGTATTTAACTGCTGCAGGGAGGAAACATTTTCCCCTGGAACTGTCCCCTGCTGATATGAGGATCGCTGCTGCTGGGTCACAGCATGCTCAAGAGGCAGAATCCCGGCGCTCCAGAGCACAGGAGGGATCTCACAGCCGATGGAGGAGCTCTGCCCATGTCTCACAATGACTCGCGCTCTTTTTTCAACTTGTCTCAGCTGGTGCTCTCTGCCGGCCAAATCAAACCATCACCAGCGCTCAAACATTCAAAAGTCACGTATTTTGAAGTAGAGATTGTTGATGTGCAAAGCAAGAAGCAGATCTGCATTGTGGACAAGGTGAGTGCATTATCCCAACACGCTGGGGCTGTGCCTGGTTCACACCAGTGGTGCCAGTTCAGGGACTTGTTTTCAGTGTGGTGTGGTCACGTTCTGTAGTAGAAATACTTTCTTTCCTTTCTCTGGGAGACACTGAGAATTTTGTGAGTCATAGCCCTGGGCTGGTCTTCTCCAGGATTTTTACAATTAATCCTGCACTGGTTTGTTTCAGACCTCTTGGCAGCTCTGTGGGCACAGAGTTACGTCCTTAGGCTGACTCTTGATGCTTAGTTACAGTGTCCATTTCAGAGCATGATACTTAACATTTATTTCAGAATGGATACTAATTTTTAATACATTTGTAAAGCCTACCATCTCTGCAATACTATGAGTATTTGCTGGTACCTAAATGTACTCAACTATTTCCTGCTTATTAGATTGGACCAGGCAATTAAATTTTTTTTTCATTTTAAACAAAGGGTCTTAGTGAAAATAGGTGCTTTGAACTTTTGTTTGGTTTGTTTATTTGTTTGTTTTAATAATGTGAGTAAAAATATAACCTGCAGCCAAATTGCATAAATAGAATGAGAGGACTGGGTAGGATGGAAGTTCATGAACCCATAAGTAACAGCAGTCTCTTTCATGCCATGAAATTTTCAGCAAATTAGTGGAGTTTTGGCACTTACTGTTTTTCTAGAAAAAAATTCCCTTATCCTCATTGGCAACAGCTGGAACAGGTAGATAAGTTTGTTTCAAATACTTAATGCCTTTGAAATATGCAGGGTGGAATGCTACCATATTTCCAGTGTTCTTGGTCTTTTAAAAGGCGTTTTTGCAATTTGTGTGCCTAGTTAAAGGTAAATGTCTCATTTGTTAATTCTTAATGGGGCAAATTATCTCCTGCTATTTTTTCTAACCTAGCCAAAGAGGAAACATGCACAAAATGGTCAAAGAAGAGGACTATTAATAACAATTTTGACGGTAGTATTCACATGACTTTATTGAGTGATATTTACACAGTTGTTAGCTTATCTACATACATTTAGAATTAAGTTTTGATCAAAAGAAAGATAAATCTGTTTCTTATCTTGAGCTTTCCTATAATGTCATTAAAATATGTATAGTACAGAAACAGCATTAGGCCAAGAGCCAAGTTTCAGGAATCCTTTCATGCTGCATGCTACTGGGATGATATCAGACCTGTGTTTTAACCTTTATTTTGAGTTTTTCTGACCCTGAAGATTTTCTACACCTCCTCCAAACTATGAACTCTGCCCCTGTAATGGTGAAAAGAGAGACATGAGTGGTGATTGCTAAATAACTCTATTCAGAGGTAAATACACACAGGGTAGCAAGAACAGCTGCAAGTCTCTGCTCAGAAACAGAAATATATGTTCAATTTACATGGCCAGCAGCAGAGGCTTTAAAAAAAATATTTTTGGCACAGTACCAAGGAATCGGTACAAGTATAGCACAAAGCTGAGGTTTCCAAGACTGCCTAAAGAATTTGGTTTCTGAATGCTCATTCACCTGGCTGTTTAAGTCCCTTAATTTGCTGTGATAATCCCTAAGTAAACCCTGAAGTTATAGAAGTTGAGTTCGTTTCTTCCATGAACACTTGTTAGTATTGGTGAACTTAATTTCAGTTTCCTGTCAGAGCAAACAGGAGAGTGGTGTACTGGATTATGCATAATTTTCTGTTTAATTCAATATAACTGGTACAGGCCCAACATGACACTTCTAAGGCCTGTTTCCTGTTTGTGAGATAGTTATGATTAACTTAATTTCTTTGGTTTGCATGTAATTACTGCTTGCCAGAATAGAAGATAATAGGAACCATAAATTTTAAAATGCATGTATTTAGATTCTTATTGCATATTGCTAGTGGTTCAGAATATTATGATTTAGCAAATGTATTTAAAACATTCTTAGATTAATAAATCTAAAGTGAAAAACTATTGTAATGGCATAGAGAAGAACCCTTTCTTTCTCCACCCAATAAAAACTAAGTCAGAGCGATTCAATGCTTAATGCTCTGTGGTTAAACACCAGGAGCTGCTTCCAAGAGGTTGAGTTTCTCTGAGATCCGTGCATGTGCCTATGAATCCCATTCAGATTAGTGGAGCTCTGTAAAATCTGCAAAATTATTGTACATTTAACTAGTTCTGGTATTTAGCAAGAAAAATTTTCCTGTCCTCAATGCAATATCAAGATTTTATAAAAGGTGTGTTTGGTTTCTATCATCTTGAAAAATCAGTTGGCATCAATCCAAAGTTTTGAATCCAGCACAATTAAGTCTCTGAATTAATTCTCAATTTAAAAAAGGAAAACTAGCATTATTTCCTTTCGTTTTCTTTCCTATCTTACACTTTTGGGAAGGATCAGTCACATATATTATAAGTCTTTAACTTATTGTTATTGTCTTTAACTTCAAGGAACAGAATAAATACTTACTTGTTTTTTAAGCCTTTAAAACATGTTCACACCATATTGCAGACTTTTCCACAACCAGGAAAGGCAGAAAAAAATAATGAAAGGAAGCAGAAGAAGAGAAAAATCCCAGACATTTTGGTTCCATAGTCATCTCCTACAGGAGCTGGGTTTGGAGGAAAATTACCTCATCTTGCAAAGTTCTTAATCTTAAATTCACATAAGTCAGCAACAGTGGCAGTTTATTTTGCACAAGCATGCTGTGAACATGAAAATCTTTATAGAAGTACAGTTTCTTTTATTTGATATTGTCAACCTGCTCTGGGGACTTTCTCTGCTATGGATATGACATTATGCAAGTGGTTTGGTGCACACAAGCTTTTCCAGTGGGTTACTTAAAGAATTTAGAAGAGAAATAATAGCAGCATGAGATCTTTTCCCCCAGATTTGCTCTTGAAATTGATTCTGAGGTGATGTACCATGGAGAAGAGATTTCTGATTTTGGGGCATGGGGGAGAATCCCAAACCAGCTTCAGGGCTTTTTTCCCAGTTATTCTACAAAATGTCCCCAAACTAGGGGAAGTAGAGAAAGTTATTTAAACTTAGGCTGCAACTGTCCTTAAAAGCAGTATATAAATGCTCAGGAGGAGGTGTTCTGGGAGTAGGCACTGAAGTGTAGAGGAGCTGTATGAGCAGCCCGCTGCTCCACACACTGCCCATGACAGGACAAGAGTCCAGGTGTCAGGGCCGGTTTGCAGGACAGCATCCTGGGTTTTCCTTCTTTTTTTCCCCGCTCCCCAGAGAGGCAGACCCAGGAGAAGATGTCTCTGAGCAGAAAGGCTCTTATCCAAGCAGCCAAAGGCCTTGCAAGAGTTGGGGCCTGAAAGCCACACTTAGGAAAATTTAGCCAAGAAATTTGGCCCATATTTTTACAGGCAAGGATGGCAAGCAAGAGTTGAGTGTCTTGTGGGCCAATGTTCAACTCTTTAACATGCAGAGCAATACTGCATTTATGTGAAAATATTCTGTAGTTTAAACATGATCATGCATGTTTCTTGCTCAATGAGTGAAAGAAGTATTTAGCAAGGAATAAATCTCTTCTTTGGCCAGTGTAAAAAAGCAGGTGAGCCTAGATAACCAAAAGTCCCCTTTTTCCTTGCAATTTATTAATTTGTATGGATGAAATTCCTATCTCTGTGTAAAGACGAAAGCATGTAATTAAAGATTTCTTGTAAGAAATATTTTCAATTAAATAGCATCACAAAGGGTCTAAGGATTTTAGCTTCTGTGGTGCTTCCAAAAAGCCACAGAAAACAGCAGAACATGCAAAAATCATCAAGTCTTATAAATGAAAGAAAACAATTCCTTTTTGTACTTTTAAAAAATAACCCACATTTTTTGCCACCCACAACTTATAAAAAATACATGGCTACTCAAAAACTGTTTCCCTCATACATTGTTCCAAAAACTTGATGTAGGTTGGTTTTAAAGTTATTGATGTGCAGTGATTTGATTTATAAATGCTGTTAAAGCAACTCATAACTATTTCTTTTATAGCATTCATTCTATAATATTTTTTTCTTCAAATTAACTTGTAGTAAAATGTATTTTCCCACAAACATAGTGCAATGTAATTAACTTTGCATGACTTGCTTTTAAGGCAGGAAATGTTACACGGTACAGATTTTACAGAATAAATCACCTCTGGAGAAACCAGCAGAGAAAGCCTCAGAGCTCAGTTGTTTTGTGCTGTGCGATTTTGCAAGCTAAGCTGTAAACAGAGGTGCAAACTCAGGTTTTGGCTACTGTGCAGTGACCCCCCCCCCCCCCCATCCCCCCTCTTTTCAGAACACTTCCTTAAGCCTGCAGAAGAGGTCTTGCTTCTTCAGGTGTGCAGGAAGAGCCTTTTTCCTTGATGTGTTGCAAAGATAATGGAGGCTACTTTCCTATTTTTCCTTAAGCCAGCTCTCCATCCTCTACCCAGTGCCTTCTCCCACTGAAACGTCTTTGTAAAACCCAGTTGAGATAATTGAACATTTACGGCTCACAGTACACACTGGAGGAACTTGTAGCTGTATGTTTGTGAGTTCTAGGCATTGTTTGCTGTGCAATGCCTACAATGAATGTCATGGGAATATTAATATTTTTAGGGAATTAAAATGCCTTGCACACAAATCTATGCATCAACCCAGTCACTTGTACATATTCAACACTTCTTGCACTTAAATATTACTGTGTGTATATCACTACATCTTTTGCCAAAGATGAATTGAGCTTATTCTGATTGCTCTGAAAGGCCTGTTTTTCTCTGAAGGAGTTATAAGCTTTTTGTTTGTTTGTTTGTTTCTGTTTTGTTTGGTTTGTTTGTTTGAAAAGCACCTGAAGCAGCAGTGTCTTTGTACCTGCTTGCTGTGGCTTAACAGTGCAATGAATTTCTGCTGGCATGCCAGCAAAGCCATTTGCATGCAGAAATGCTGTCTCTGGTATCAGAAATCTCTTTCTCTTGCCTGTGGGTTGCTGCTCTGTCACAGAAAGTGAACAGCCGAGGAGAACAGTCATCTCTTTTGCACAGTCAGCTCTAGCAAATAAAAATAACTTCTCACATCATGGCTTGGAGGTTAGACATACCACATTCATTTTAGGTGAGCGAGTGCAGTCATTAAAGTAGGCAATGAAACTCTGCAAAGGAACTCTTTGCAGCACCAGAACATTGCCTCTGATGTCAGGCTCTTCCCATTAGCATCATTCTAGGGAAGCAAATTTCTTTCCCAGGAAAGAAATGAATACTTTCATGGCCATTTTAAGTATTCCCCCCTGCTAAATGTTTCAGTTCTAATATTTCATTTCAGAGGACTGTGCATTTTTCTCTACAGAGAATGAGCAGAACCTGTGACCATCCATAGTGGTCTCATTTCATGCAGAGGATTTTTATCATAATTTTTTCTCATTCAAGCAATCTATCATGAATGGCATGCCACCTCTGATGCCAGAGATACCAAAAGGGGCTGAATAACCAGCTGTGTCAAAGTAGGGGGCTCCCGTAGTGAGAAATGGATGCTGAGTCCCACATACCAGCAATTCCCACAGCAAAATGGCTGAAGGGACACAGACACAAAAATAGCTGGATGTAGGCTCATTGCTGTGGAAATCCTCTTTTTTTACTTCCTTTTGGAAGGAGGATTTCATGGTGTCTTGTGTCTTTCACTGTACGTTTTCACGGCATCCAGCACAACAGGGATCTGGCCCCTGCTGGGGGACACTGAGAAAAAAAAAAAAATTTATAAAATATTTGTCTTTTCTTACCTGTAAGCATTGAATCTTATGCACAGTCCACAGTGCTGGAAGTGATGACAGTAGTATTTTCTTCCTCAGTTATTACTTATACTTGGTAGAGTAGGTAAACATATTCAAATTCTGTTGTAGCAATGCATGACACTTATTTCTTCCTTCACATAATTTTAATGTCAATATAGCTACGGATGGTTTCAGATGAAAAGAGTCAACTATACATATTACTTTTTGCTTGCTGTGAGATGGCTTTTTAAATGGAATACCTGGAGAAATGGCCTTTGATTTTTCTAGAAGAGAGAGACTGGGGAAGGGAAAAGCTGCTAACTTTAGGGCATTTAGCATTTGCAAAGGGATAATTTAAAGAATTCCAGAAGCTACAACAGATGACTAATGCTTCAGCTGATACTAATCAAAGCGTAGAAGTGCCTTTAAATGACAGATTTTATACATCTCTTATTTTAGATAAAAAAAGCCTAAGCCTGGGGGAAGAAATAAAGAAGCAAATATAATAAATATTTAAAAAAAAAAGTTGCTTCAAAGTTGAGCAAAAACAAGAGTGAATTTATGAGACACTGGTGGTGCTCCAACTCTTCCTGAACATTCTGGCCAGCAGCAAAAGCCAGCTATGCCACCAGAGCAGTGAATATTGCCAAAATTTTATCTATAGAGACAGATTCCCAGCCAGTGTGAAAATGTCCTCTTCCCCACCAAAGTTATGACATTTTACCCCAGCCACACATTTGCCTTATTGCATCAGAGATAATTCAGAGATTATTGCAAATTATAAACGTACTGGAGCAATACAAGATCATAGGGAGCAGTAAGTGTTTTATTAGTCTAATACTTAACAGCACAGCCCATGATGGAAAGTTAGGTGCATAATGGCATCTCTTATAGGCATTATTAGCATTAAAATACTTCTGCATATGATTTATTGCTCCATCAGAACATGCTTCAGGTTCTTTCTGAAATTCAATGTGTGATTCTTCACAAAACACCTGAGCCATGTGGTCATGGATCTGTAAATACTCAGCAGTATATGTTAATGCTATTATTGTATCTGACTATGTTTAAACAATTTTGGATTTTAAAAAGTCCTTAAAATGCAAGCTATTCTTCCTTAAGAGCTACATTTCTTGTGCTTCAAAAGAACAAATTGTGGCAATCAGAGGACCTCTACCAGAAGTACAGCAAGCATCTCTTCATTGCACTTGGTATTGAATAATGAAAAGTACTTGGATTTCTAACAGACCTGATGCTGCCTGGTTGTTCTCATATATCACCCTCATTTCCCATTCCTTTCTGCTGCTTCTCAGCTTCCAACTCTCCTCCACAGACCTGCTTTATTAGCCCTGCTACTCATAGATTTATTTGTTTTGCCAAAATATATTCTTCTGTGAAATTTCTTTTGAGTTGGTTGATCTTTTGGCTTTTTTTATTTCATGCAGTCCCCCAAATAGATTGTGACAATCTTGTGCTAAATATTGGCTGAGTTTCTTGGGTGCCCTTCTTGATTTTTAGTTTTAGCAGTGTGTGTAGATATAAAAAAGCAAACAAAAATCTATACAGCTATTTGATAGAAAAGGGAAGACAAATTCAGAGGTTCCACAGCTCAGCCATATGCTTTATCTGTGCTAGAACTGGCAATCAAAATTCCAACAAAAAACATAAACAACACCCTGAGCCTCACTTTCCTTCTGAGAAATATGGGTCAAAATTACTGCTTATTATTCTTTATTGTTTATACATTGTTCAATAAAACAACACAATATTTATTTCTAATAAATATTATAATTTTTAAAAAGTTTGTTGTTTGCGGTTTTTATTACTTTATTTTTTGTCAACTATTTTGCTTTTAAGTGCATATCCCAAATGTTGTTTTCTTTGAAAATGACAGTGGAAAAAAATGAGTCTTGAATTTTTGATGAAGTAGAATTTGGGAAAGATTACATTACAAATTAGTTTTGAAATATTTCAATCTGTTATGACACAATAAATATTTCAAGTTCAATTTATTTTACAACTTAATAGTGCATTTATTTGCATATGATTTCCTATTGGATTATTTTTGTTGACATGAGAGCCATGTGTTACATTATTTTGCTATCAGGACAGCTGTGTTTTAAAATAATGCAGAAATAATGAAAGTTTGATACAGATGAGAAATAGAAAGTAATGACTATAACACATATAATCATTATATGAATACAAAAAAAAAAAAAAGATTTTCCAGCATGTGCCAGAAGCGAATTTTTAAATAAATTTCTATTCCATTTTTTAAATTTGAAGTCAACACAAATTTACACATCCAGGGATTTGCCAGAAAAATTCCATTTTCCTGGTAGAAAAGTGTTGTGACAGTGGCTTCCCAACAGGTTCTGCTATTCAGCTGCTGAGGTGAACAGTAACATTACTCAGTTCCCCTTAATAAAAGGTCACAGGGCATGGGGATGTACCAGTCTAGTCAGATTTGCTGAGAAATAGGTGTGCATGTTGAATTCTGCACACCTTCTCTCTGCTAATGAATTACATTCTCTTTACTTCTCCTCTCATATTTGGCAGAGAGAGAAAAAGCTCTTTTTTTGTGTCTGACACGTTTTAAGGCAATTTCTTGCAAAGAGAGAGGTTTTTTTTTTTTTTAATAGAAATACCCAGCTATCAGTACAAAAACAATTCATCACCTTTAGAGACAAACTTGGCTGGTGTAAATTAACATGACTGCACACAGCAAGCATGTGGTTATGTGTATTCTTAGCTAATTTGGCCCACAATCACTGGAAATATTAGTCATTCAGATTATCTCATATGCCAAGGTTCATGTGACCAGATAATAAATAATCTGGAAGATTGCTCAGTGAGACAGCCCTCTACTTACGTATGTGTGCTGGAAACTACCTCAGCTCAAACCGTAATTCGGAATATCTGCGCTTCTGGCAAGGCTGCATTGAGGTCAGAGCCAGCTGTTTGGTAGCCACTTCTCTGCAGTCTGCTGAGTAAAAGACTGGATTATACACAAAGCCTTTGTGCAGCTGCTGACAGCACTTGTCTATGTGTAGTTACCTCTACATCATTTCCATGCTGAGCTCGTTTATTTATATCTCTTTGGGCATGACCAGCATACTGGTTCACCAAGAGAGCTGTGTGGGACACACTGGGAAAGGTTAAAACAAAACAGTGCCCAGTTTTTAATTCTGACTTTGAAAACTGACAATAAGAAAGCCAATCTGATCTAGAAGTCAAATTCACAAAATACAGAAATCAGCTAGAACAGTGTTTTGCTAATTGACTTTCTTTGGAATACTACTGGTTTCTTATAATACATCATGGTCCCAAAACAAGGACAGGGTGCAAAAGCAGTAATGATGAAGTATTTGTTGAGTGCTGAATTTGGAAATCACCTGCCTTTCCCATTAGCTGGTTATCTGTTTTGCAGCTGATCCTCAGCTGCAATAAACTGCTGTCACCCTTTTGAACAAATGTACTCTGGCTGAAGATGGGGCAGTGGTTAATGAGCAATGGGAGTGGCAGAATTTCTGAATTTCTGCAGTTATGGAAAATTCCTGTTACAATATGGGTGACTTAGCAGCGCAGTGGTACTGGCACGTCACAAATAGAAAAAGGTATTCAGAGAGAAATGTTGAATGAAAGATTACTTATTTGCTGAAATTCTATTATTCAAACTCTTATTGATATCCTGCTGACCTCTAAACCCTACAATAATTCTTTAGTGCAAGAACTGTGTGATGCAATTACATACAGACCACCAGATTTGGCATAATTCCTTGACTTATAAATGTGAAAGAGGTATGAAAGTGGATAACTATCTGATTAACTTGCACTCACAAAAGGTAGTGTTAAGTTCCCTTAATATCTTCCACTTAGTACTCTTCCTTCAGTTATAGCACAAAATACGAATATGGTATTTTAAATCTTAAAAAGAAATGTGATGCTTTGTGCATTGGTGTCTGAAGGAAGAATAGAACTGGCGTGGATGACCCAGAAGGTCCTTTGATTCTTGAATTCCTGTAAATGAAAAGTTTACTTCCATTGGCTTCAAATGGAAAATTCAAAGTTTTCTGGCTGTGGAAGTACAGGAAAACCAGGATTTGACATTTTGAAATAATCTTTTTCTGAATGAAAAGTGTAATGACTGCAACCCACAGCTGTAAAATATGCATTTATTCATAACATTTTTTTCCAAAAAAAGTAGTCTTGAACCTTACACATGATAGTCATTTACTGGAAAGTTGACTACACTTTAAATCACATGTTAGACTACAAGTGAAGAAGTTGTAGGGAAAAGCTGGCTTGACCATCAGGCTGTAGAAGATACATACCAAATAAGAGCAGAAATCCATCTTGCTTTAAACAAACCAAGGGCGGTCTCTTCACTCTGCTTTGCATATTTGTAGAGTGCTGAAATAGAGGAAAGAAAGGGTTATAACACTTTTAGAAATAATTCAAAAGAATGAAAAGAGAGTAAGACTAATAATTACAGTGAAGTATTCCAGGGTGTTTTATTCAGTTAGCACAAAGGGTAATAAGAGCAGATGCTTTCCCAGTCCTTACAATTCCTTAGCTTGTATTGATGTACATTGAAAAGAACAAAAGATAATTAATGGTCTATGAAGAGGACACTCTTAGTAGTAAGCTGGTGTCTCAGCATCCATCTTCTCATTGATCAATATTAGAAACTATAATTTCACTGGTTGCTTTATGAGATCTTTAGAAAACGACGCAGAATTATCAAGATCATAAAAAAATGTATTTCATTCTTTTGTGGCTATAACCTCATTATTCTGCCTGGGCAAGGACACTGCGATTCTTCTATGTCACAGCCCATTCTGAAGGGGGAAAGTATTTGTGTTATTCTTCAGCTGGTGACCTGTGTAGTTTGTCATGAGTGGAAGGGTCCTTCTCAAAGGCAGCTGGCTTATATCAAACAAGTGTCCTGCTGTCGTCCTGGCTGCATGAGAGCTCTGTGCCTTCCCGGGCTCCCCACAGCCTGCACGGAGCCGCCAGACCGCAACTTGCCAGCCCAGCACATCCCTGGCCATGGGCTGGCAGGGCTTAAACCAGCTCAGCCTAAAGCAGTTTGGATGTGGCCAGGCACAGCAGTGTCCTGCTAATGAACTCTACCTGGCTCAGGGATGTGCAGGGCATGGCCCTTCCAGCTGCTGCTGCTGGGAGTGCTGTGTGCTGCTGCCCATCACCCCCCAGGGGCACACGGACCAGCTCCTGGGCTGCAGCAGGACACTGCAGCAGGACACTGCAAGCACGTGGTAGCTTCTAAACACCTGAGGCATATGGATGGCTCCTCAGGTGAACCTAAAACATGAGCTTGGATTCATTTTTTAAATAGCTGAAGTTAGGTGATGTGAACCCCACTGCTGCCATAGCAGGATTTGGAGGGGAGAAAGCACTGATTGTCTCAGGATGAAAAAAGGGAGAGGGATGTAGAGTTGCTAACAAGGGCTCGGCTAGACATTTTGAACAGATTGAGAGCAGCTCTGCCTTGAAGTCAAAACATACTCAGGAGAGCTAGAGTTGGAGACCTGGCTCTGTTTTGAGCCAGCACTGCCCTGTAAGCATGCTAAACTTTACAGTTTTTCAGCTTACTTTGCCTAAATAGGTTGATCAGCTTACCAGAGCATAGGTTGGCCCTAGCTACTCTATCCCAGAACCCATCACAGTGAGGTGCTCATCTGTAGGGATGCGGGCCCTGCAGCAGTGTGGCTTACAATGCATTTAGAAAGCCAGCTCATCCTTAAACTGGAAAAAAACATCCCCATCCTTCAGCTGGCAATGCCAGCTCTGGGTACCTGCACACCTGCCCCATGCTAGAATATATGACAGATTTTGGTCTGCAGGCTTGTATGCTTAATAGATGTTGCCAGCTAACAGTGCTTGCGTCCATATCTGGTGGATTCTGGGCTCCAGGCCTCACAGGTGGGAGATTACAAAGTGTGAGAAAGCAATTTCAGGCATTTTTAGAGGTTTTGAGAACATAACACCCCCAAGTCTACAGATGTTGCACACATGATGGGAAAAATACACAGAGGCTTTGGGAGATGTGCTGTTCTACTGGGTGTTGCATGGAATTCTTTAAGTGCAACAAAGACAGATAAAATATTTTCTTTCCTTTTTAAACTAAGAAAGATAAAATGGCTTCTTCTACTGTTTCCTGTAGCTAGGAAGAAATGGGTCTCCAAGGGCAGTGTATCTTGCCTAAGACACTGACCTAGTACAGTTCGGCATGGTTTGAGTCAAAACACTTCTTGGGGAGAGGGTAAAAGGGTAATCCTTGGTTTCAAGGAGTCTAGGCCTTGATTTGGGTGGACCTGCCATTGCTTACAGCCACATTAGAGAGACAAATCAGGGTTTAGGTGTAGTTTCATCTACAGCAGTTTCTGTAAATGCCCAGTGAAACCCTCTGTAACTGTGGAAAATAGAGTGTTCTCATCTAAACCCAAGATAAAACTTACAAAAGATCTGTACTTTACTGCCTTTTAGCACAGGTGTCATTTTACATCTTTAGATCACTGAAGTCTGTATTGAGCTCTCTGCCTGTTCATATTACTGGAAGCAAGTTGGGTTACTCATAAGTATTAAAAGCACTTCTACTGTATATTTGCATTGAGTGAGAAATTACGTAAGAGTAAATTTTTCTTTCTGCACTGATTTGTTCCTTTAGAGTCAGCAATTTTATTTTGTTGCATCAGTATTTCTCCAAATTCAGTCTTTTTGACAGAACAACCTATGTTAAGGTGCTAAATGATCTCTATTTGGGAGAATTTCTTATGTTCTTCTCTATTCGTTTGCATGGTTATTGTCACAATCCACTAATAAGTAGCTCAGCATGCTACTTCCTCAAGAGTCCCATTGCCTTTCCCTGTAAACAAAAGGCAAATCCAAGTATCTTGCTCTAGTAAATTCTAAATGTGTTTCTCTGGTAATTTGTACAAAGGATATTAAGAAATCAATATACATAATAAAATAGAGCCTAAAAAGCCTCCAAACAGCTCTCTAAAACTGTGACATCTGAATTGCTTCAGTGCACATGAGCAAAAGCATGCAGAAGCAAAGTCATTTCACAACCTACCACTTTTGCTACTGCCTTCTCCAGAGAATCCTTTCATGTCTCCAGGACATGGATCTCAGCATGCTTGAACCTAAATTTAAAGCTAAATCCTTCAAGTTTTCCCACTGGTTTGATCTAGGGAGCAATTATTGCATCAAGCAGGGCCAACAGCTTTCCCTCTTGACCCTTGTGCATTTATCTTTTCATCGACCAAACAGAGGTGGTCCAGGTGATGTATAATTCAAATTTGGACAATCCTTAATAACATACCAACCTGTGAAAACAAATTTGCTGATTTTTTTCATTTTAGCCTGAAGGACTTGTAGACAAATTTAAGCATCTCTTCATTGGAGAGTTGGAGAAGGGATCCCAAAGTGAAGAAGAAAGAAAAATTAACCCATATGCATTTTGCTTTCTTTTCCAGGTACCTCCAGCATCTACTGTTCTTGATGTGAAACACAAATTTCACAAAGCATGTAAGTACTATGGTTACCAGGCTGGAGACATGGTTAGAGGCCTTTCACTTAGAGAAATTGTCAAATTTATTTTTCAGAAATCTCACACAAAAGCTGAGACTGGCCTGACAGCTCCAGAGCTCAATAAGAATAGTGTTTGAATTAAGGTTCTATTGTAGCTGTTGCAGATGGGAGAGACTGGAAGGCAAGAACTGCATAATTTATCACTGCCAGCACATGAAGGGCAGTAGTTTTTATCTTGTTTTTAACATTATACAGTGTCATTTCAAGACCAGTATTGCATTTCTTCTCCCAATGTTATATTGGATAAACTTCAGTAACAATAGACTGCTTCAAGGTGGCCATAAACTGACCATGTGGACCAGAAAGCTGCTGTAGTGGAGAGTGACCTCAGAATGATTAAATAACATCTGGATTTAGGTTAGATATACAGAAGAAATTCTTTATGGTGGCAAAGCACTGGCACAGGCTGCCCAGAGAAGCTGTGGATGTCCTGTCCCTGGAAGGCTTGAAGGCCAGGTTAAATGGGGCACTGAGAAATCTGGTCTAGTGGGTGACATCTTAGATACTGAGCTTTCATTGTTTTTACAAAAAAGGCTGTGTTCAACTAAAGGCTGGATGCCCTTTACAGGAAAAAAAAATGGTTGTCAGCCACTAATATGCTTTAGTTCAGAGTAGGGTAAGTAGAAAAAGCATTATGCTTCTCCTGTGTCCTTATAATTTTATAAAACACTAAAGCTTAAGGCATTTCTGGTTGCACACGGGTTCAGTTGATGAAGTGAAAGGCTGTTAACCTGACTGCTCTAAAGTTACTTATTTTCCCTCCTTGTAAGGGCTTGTAAAATACAAAATGGCAAAAGTTCAAAAGCCACACTGCTGAATATGAAAAGATTGAGTGAAGAAGTTTTAATATTTCAATAAGAGTATGTCCTCCCATTAGTTTGTCAAATGCAATGCACTTCTTCCTAGAATCTCTTAAATCAATTGAAACTGGATTTATATTGATGCAGTTTAAATCAGTTGGAGAACACTGGCAATGAGGTTTATGCCAACATAACTGTAATGAGGTTTTTAATGGATTTGGGCTAAAATGACGTGAGATTGTGCATATGCCATTTTAATGGCACCTGTTTTGATATTAAGAGGCATCTTACTCTTCAAGTGCCCCCAGTGATGTAAGTATTGCTGAGTATAAAGTAAGACAGTAAACATACAACAAAGCATAGTATACATCATGAACCAAACCTCTGTCTGTGCAGTGTATTACAACACATGGAAGGGCTGGCAAGTACCTTCAATGCTTTTTAAGTTCTCATTTTTTATGTTAATTCATCCCATTCCTGGGAGTGCACTGTATCAGTGTCCCGTGTCCCTTCTCAGTTCAGCTCACTGCTTTGATCTCTTTTCCAGTTCAGCCTGGATGTTGTTGTCTCATGAGGTTCCCCCCCTCTGCTCCTCCTTTCCCAGTTGCAAAGATCAAACCTTCACTTTTTTCTCTTTGTATAGTTAGTGGGATGACAGCTAATAGAATACAGTTCTCTTAGGCAAGGGCTGAGAAGGGGCTGAAGCTGATCTGTGGTGCCTTTGGTTAGCATGCTATTTTGTACCAGCTCATGCATTCATTTGTGTCATTTTGTGTGTGCCAGACTCATATGTTCCCCTATAATCTCTCATTAAAACACACTCCTACGCACACCCCCTTACAGTCTCCCTGTCTGCATACATTCTCCTTTGATCACCCATGCAATTAAGCTTTCTCCTCAGCTGGTGTCTTGTCAGCCCTTCAGTGAGAGGAACCCCTGTGCAGCAATTTCACAAGAATCATCTCTGTCACTGATCAGATTTTGCTGCCTGATTCAAGAAAGAAGGAAAGAGACTGAATTATGAATTGGAGCACAAGTTGTTAGTCATTAAAATAAAAGAAATGGGATGCAAGTGACACTTGCCATCTTACTGATAAGTAGTTCCTAAGTTAGTCCAATATTAGTTTGGATGTGTGTTTATACAAAAGGCAGAACATGGATTTAGAAGTCCAGGAACAAACTCTGAAGTACCCCTCAGCCCTCACTTCAGCAAAATTGTTTCTACTGAAACAACCCCAGAAAGACCTAACCTTGTGCTTTTTGTGGTGCTGAGTTCAGGGGGGCAATCCCAGTTTTATTGCTGGAGGTTCAGGGATCTTAGTGGAGAATAACCATTTAAGACAAAGTGCTATTTTCATGGGCATTCAAAGGCTTTGTCCAGATTGAAGCTGTTTTTAGTCGTCCCTTGGCTGCAGTAGCCACTGCCCATTGGAGGGACAGGCAGCACCAGCTGGGGTCAGCCCAGAACAGCAGATTCCCTGCTGCAGCCCCTCCAGCCAGCAGCTCCACAGGGGCTTTCTGTAACAGATGTTAGAGCCAGGCTGTCATGCTTAATAGCAAACATCACACCTGCCCACCATGGATCTGTCTAATCCTTTTTGAACCTACTTACAGTTTTGACCTGAGCAAAATCCTCTGGGAAGGAGTTCCACAGTAAAAGCATGTTGTGGCAAAATGTCCACACATCTACAGCTTGATGTTTTCTGCCTGGGATTGAGTGGCAGCAGAGTGTCAGGGTGTCACTGGCCATCATGCTGAGCTGTCTGAGGTACATCTCTCAATCAAAATGCTGCTGTGCATGAGGAGACTTTTCTAGAATTTTCCTCATTCCCTTGGCTAGCTGGCAGAGATGGAACCAAGCCAAAAATGGAATGTATAAGAAAAAAGGCTCTTGACCCATTTTCTCAGTTGCTTATAATGAGTTAGCTACCTGGCATGTTCTTTATCTGTACAGATTATGTTTTCAATGGAGAAAGAAATATCTTGTAGGCTAAACTTCCTGAGCTCTTGTCCTTGGCAATAACTTTTCACCTTTAATTTATTTTTATCTTTGGAAAATGTATTGGACTGCTGGGGGAGGAAATCTTACAGATAGAAAATGAAAAACTGTAATAATAATGCTAATTCAAGTATCACATAACTAAAATAAAATACTCCTAGAACATGTAATATATAATATAGTGGAGTCAGTGATCATTAAATATTTTCAAGGTTACTGCATGAAAGTTGCTGAAAAAGCTCTTGAAAGAAGAGGAAGAAGTGAAAGGAAAGGAGGAAATAAGATCTCAGCAGTGTTGTAACAAACTGATAGAGGCAACCTCCTGCTCAAGGGGAATAGCACAGCTGCAGCTACATTTTGAAGCCAGAAGGGTGAGCATAGGGAGGCCAGAAACTGCCCTCTAGGCAGAAGGAGCAGGCAGGGAAGGTTGGAAGCCTGGTGATGGGTGGAAGGAAAAAGGGAAGTCCAAGAGATAACTGAAAACATCATGTCAAGGGTGTCCTAGTCCACAGAGGGAAATAAAGGGCTCAAGGAATAAGGGACATCTAAACTAATAGAAGTTATATAGGGCATTTAAAATAAGCAATACCAATGAAAGCAAATCATAAAGACAGGAATTGTCAGTAGATGGCACTCAAGAATAAACAGCATCATTTCTGAACAATATGAAACTACAGAACCTTGCTATACCATCTTATAACTGCTCCTTACAGGTATTTCTATAGTGATCCTGGGAGCCATGTTCTCTGGAATGCAACTGAAATATTTTTTGTTGGTTCTCTCTAGAGAGAGGACAAGGAAAAAGGGATGGGACCAATCTCTCTTTCAGCCTCCTCCCTACAGTAGGGCAGTGTGTTAGGTATCATCTGCCAGGTTTTACCTACTGCTGTCCTCCTGCATGTGTCCCAGAAGCCACAGGAGAACCAGCAGCCCTGCAGATCCCATCACCCAGTAGTGCTCAGCTCAGGCAGTGCTCAGCAGCTGCAGGGAGAGCAGCATTTTAAAATCAACAGGTCCTTGTTCACCTAGAACCCTGAAGCAGATCTTCAAAACACTGAACAGTGGAAGTTGAGCTGACAGGGTGAAGAGCAAGGAGGAGAATCTCTCATTACTTAAAAATCACAAGGCTTTGTGAGTACAGCTCAAGACACAAGAAGTACTAAAAATAATTCTTTAGGGGAGGAAGTCCTCTTTCTTTGCTCCTTTCTAAAAAGGCTGCTAAGGGTTTTCAGGCTCTGAATGTGAAACTTTTCTGGTTTTCATGACACCTGAGCAGTCAGGTGCACCTAGTAGCAGGATTTCAATAGCAAGGGCATCAGAAATAACTGGTTTTTGCCAGGCCTGTGCTGACACACAGGAGAGAGATGCAGAGCTGTTGCTGGAAAGGATGACTGTACTGCATCACGTAATTCCCTTCTGGAGGCCAGCTGTGATGTTAAACTGCAAGGCTCAGAGAGGTGAGAAAGGATGCTGTGGGGATTAGTCATTAAGAGCAGTACCAGGGAGAGCGGTGACTGCTAAGCCAGTCCTTGCCTACCGGCTCTGTATAATCAGGACTGTCTGGTAATACAGTCTTGCTGAGAACCTGCAGTTCCTCTGATTTCTCCACACTGTCTATTACAGCTGGATTCTCAGGTAGCAGAAAGTTAATGAAATCTGTCAATTTTGATGCCTGGAGAGACTCATGTGCCTGATGAATACATCTGCTGGGGACTCAGAGAAGCTGAATTATGCTATTTATAGATCAGCAAAGTTGACTTCATAGTCTTGGCCTGTCAATCAGCCATGTGTTTCACAAACCAAAGAGACCCAAATAAGTTATATCTAGGGCACAGAGCCTTCCAGAGGGATCTTTCTTTTGTCCTATATTAGGAGATCAGAAAGCCAAAATGTTTGAAAGAGGGCAATGATCTGATCCCACCATGAGACGCCTTGAGCTGGACGCACTCCCTGGACAGAAAGGCAGCTACAGTCTATAGCTTTTATCAGATCTCAAATTCCTTCCTCCCTGATTGTGTCCTAAGTAGCTCACACTTAGCTACAGAATCCATATATGAAGGAGTTTTCCAAAAGACAGACAATATCCTGCTGTGCAGTGTCTGATTGCAGAGCTCAGAGGCCCAGCATTACGTCCCCAG